CCCCATACCCCACCCACCCACCACCACCACCACCACCCGCCCATCCCCGCAGGCCGTGCTGCAAGTGCCGTCTGTGCTGGCGCTGCTGTGGTACACGGCGGCGTACCGCGCGGGGTCCATCCACTACGAGCACAGCTCCAGCTGGGCCGGCATCCTCTCCTCCACCGTCGCCATCTACTTCTACCTCTATGCGGGCTCAGCCCTGCTGTTCCAGGCCGTGGGCTTCATGCTGCCGCCCAACCGCTACCTGCAGCTGGCGGCCGCCCTCAACCTGTCCGCCGTCCTTGTCTTTTTGTGGTCGCTGTACGTGCCGCAGGTGCGGGCGCGCAGGCCAGGTGGCGGTTGCGTGCGGGGAGGGACGGGATGGGATGGGATGGGATGGGCCAGGCCAGGCCTGGGTGCGATGTGCGTCAGTTGGGTGCACCGCCACCCACCTCTGAGCCGGCGCTCTGCCACCCGCCCTGCTCCAGATCGCCGAGGCTGTGTACATGGTGCTGAGCGTGTGCGCCTCTGCCTGGGTGCCCATGGCATCATTCATCTTCCTGGATCGTGAGTATGGTGGTGGGGCGTGGGGGTGGAGGTGGGGGTGCGTTTGAATGTGGCGGGGGAAGCAGCTCGGAGGGGCCTGGTGGCTGGTGGGAGGAGGTGGGGGCGCAGCGGATCATGCGCCTGGTGCAGCCGTGTGGCGCTGCATGCGTGTGTGCCGCGCCGTTTGGCAGTGGTAGGGGCGGCAGGGTTCCCCACCCCGCGCGCACGCACACACACACACACACTCTTGCCCTTGCTGCCTCTCTGCCCGCAGTGGCGCGGGCCTCTGTGTCCCAGCATGGTCCCGCCATCATGGGCTTCTCTGATGTGAGTGGCGGGGTGGGGCTGGGTGGAGCTGTGCCGGGCCTGCCCCTCCTGAGGCCCACCAGCAGGGCGGGCAGCCCGGCTGCGGTGGCTGCGTGTTTGTGTGATGATGTGGTGGTGGGGGGTGGGGGCACCATGTCCCACGCTTCCTCGCTCCGCCCCTGCAGGCTCTGGACCGCACGATGAGCGTTGTGGCTGTGACGGCTGTGATTGGCAGCGAGGGCACCACCAACATCACAGGCTTCCAAGTGGCAGGCATCGTGAGTTCCGCGCCGCCGGCCGCATGCCATGGCCTGCCTGCAGGGCCCTGCCCCTGCCACCTCTGGATCTGCAAGCTTTCAAGACCTGTGCATGTCACATGCCGGCCTGGCCTGCTGGCTGCACGCGGCCAGCTGGCAGGCTTGTTGCCTTGCCTTGCCTTGCCTCGACCCTCTTGGTCCTGCCCCGGCCTGCCTTCCTGCCTTTGGGCTGCAGATCCTGCTGGTGATTGCCGTCTGGCTGGCCCTCTGGCTGCTGCGTCCCTACTCCCTGTCCCCCCATTTTGAGCACCGCCGCCTGCGCCTGCACGGCCAGCTCAGCATGCTGTTCAAGCAGCGCCACCACTGGATGCTGGCCGTCACCACCACCACCCTGGACACCGCAAGCGTGGGCTACTGCTTGTCCATTGTCTGGTTCGTTGATGTGAGTGGGTGTTTGGAGGCAGGGAGTTTGTGGGGAGCCGCAGAATGGGCTGGGCCCGACAGCGTCTCACCCAGTGCCCTTGCTGGCACGCATCTGCTGTGGCTGATCTGCCGCTCGCTGGCCCCCCGCGTCCCGTCTGGCTGAGTGGTTTGGCTGGCCGGCTGGCTGGCTGCCCTGCCCGCCCTGCCCGCCGCGCTGCAGCAAGATAACGTGCAGTGGTTTGCGCTGGCCTATGCGCTCACCAACATGGTGGCCATCGGAGCCCTGGGCGCCTTCCTTACCATGAAGCCCGGGCGCCGCCTGGGCCTCAAGCTGATGTGGGCAATCGCCGCCACGCCCTGCGTGACGCTGGTACAGGTGCGCCGCGCATGAGGGAGCGCTGCCCAAGGGGGCTGGCTGCTGGAAGTGAGCGGAAGGGCGAGGCACTGCGGGTCTGTCCCTGGCCAGAACAAGTCGTGTCCAGCGACCGCCCCGCCCCCTGCGCCGCCTCTACCCCTGCCGCAGGTTGTGCTGGTGCAGTATGGCGGCTCCGCAGCCACCTGGGTGGCGGCCACCGTGGTTGCTGCGCTGCACGTCAGGACCAACATGGTGGGCCTGCTGAACCTGCACACGGTGCCCAGCCGCGAAATCTTCACAATCATCCGCACCATGCAGGCAAGTCGGGCAGCCACCTGCGCTGCCGCCCTCATTGCCCGGCCCTGTGCCTGGCCGCAACTCTCGCTGCTGACTCCGTGCCCTGCCCCTGCCTCCAAACTGCTCCAAACTGCTCCAAACTGCAGGTGTTCCTTGGATCCCTTGCCTTCGTGCTGGGCCTGGCGGCCGGCAGTAACACCGACCAGTCGGTGGAGGTGTGGGTTGTGACGGGGACATACGAGGCGCTGCGTGTGCTGCTGGTAGCCGGCATGGTGGCCCTCCACCGGCGGGAGAACATCGCCAAGCCCTGAGGAGGGGATGGTTGTACACGTAGTGCAGTATCAGTCGACAATCCAATCGATCCTGTACCGATTTATTTCAGCAGCCCCTTGCTGCTGCAACATTTCCTTGCATTGTTTGCTTTGCGGTGCCCACCTCTTTTGCTAAGCGCCCCCAATTAATTTGCGGTCCCTCTTTGAGCCCCCAGATGTAGCTGTGCATGGGCCCATTGTCCTCGAAATCCCACAGTGTGGCTGTACTGCCACTGTACTGCTTCATGTTAGTGACCCTTGGCGTCTCTGTAATGTCAGGCAATGAAGGCAGTGGAGACCAGCAGATTCTCAAGGTTCAGCTAATCCTGAGGTTTAGCTGTGTCCCTTGGACAGAACACCTGTTCCAGTCTCCATTGGTTGCTCCACAGGAGATGTCTGCACCCACTCCCCCGCCCCTGACGGTGCGAGTGTGGCCTCACACGCAGTGCACCTGGTTGGTGGGGCTGGCAGCCTCGGGCGCGCTGGCGCTGGCAGCCCCGCAGCAGGCTGCGCTCCCATTGCTGCTAAGGCTGGCAGCATCGATCGGGGCACGGCTGGCGCTGGGGGCACCCCTGCTGGCGTCATCCCTGTACTTCAATAATGCCACCCGGGAGCTGGGGAAGGCGGGAGGTGAGCGGGGCCTGCACTGCATGCAGTGTGTGAATGGGCACTGCAATCTAGAGCAGCGTCGGCACTCCGCCTCATGCAGGCACCCCCCTGTTTCTGGCAAGCCCATCCCCAAGCTAGTGACATCCGGCCCCTACAGGCGCACCAGGAACCCCATTTACGTGAGTGATCATGCTGTCGCATGAAGATCGGCAGGCACTCAGTTGGGAAACGACCAAAGTGCGCACGCCCCGCCACCGACCCTGTGCAGGTGGCGGCCATGTGTGTGTGCGCCGCCGCCGTTCACGGGCGCCACCACGCCCAGCGTGCACACCTCCCTCTCTCTGAGCCTCCCCTGCTCCACCCTGCAGTGCTAGATATCGTGGCTCGCGTGGACCACTCGCTGCTGGAGCGACTGGGCATGGAGCCGGGCGGCTGCGTGCCGGTGTCAGCCGAGGAGATGGGACGCCTGCTGGCGCTGCCAGAGGTGCACGGAGGCATGAAGAGGTGAGGTGGCCGTTTGTTTGAGGGACACTGCATGCACATGGGCGCCCCACACACCCCACAGCCCCGCCCATGCCACGCCTGCCCGTGCGCAGGGTCCCCGGCGGCAGCGCGGCCAACGTTCTCAAGGGCCTGGCCAGCCTGGCCCCCGCCAGCATGTCTGTGGCGTTTGTGGGCATGGTGGGGCAGCACGAGGCGGGGCGGGAGTACCGGCAGAGCATCACCGCCCACGACGTGCGCCCTTGGCTGTGCACTGAGCGCGCTTTGAGTGCCTGTGGCCTGCTGGAAGCGGGCAGCCATTGCTGGGGGTGCATTAAATCCAGGTCGACATGCTCGCCGGAGCGCGCTGCATTGGAGCTGCCGCTCCCGGGACAGCGCGCTCGGCCTGCCACTGCGCCGCTGTTGTTGCTGCTGCTGCTGCTGCCGCCGCCGCACCTGGCCGGCTCCGCCGCTCCACAAAATCTTCCCTCCTGCGGACCTCGGAGCCATACAGGTGCGCCACCACCGCGGCATAGCACAAGACTACAGCGCCGCCCTGGTAGCGGCGGCACAGCGCAGCCGCCGTGGGCGGGTCCTGCCCCGCCACCAGGCCCGCCAGCAGGGCTCCCTCTGGCAGCTCCGCCAGGGCGCCCGGCACCAGCAGCGGCAGCGCAGCGCTGGACACGACATGGATCAGCCGGTACCCTTGCTGCAGCTGCTGGTTGGTGCAGAAGTCGGGACCATGTGCCAGCAGCACGACGGCCATGGCGGTCAGCAGAGGCACCTGCCACCTGCGCCGGCAAAGCGGGCGGGCCAGCCGAGACACGGGGAGTGGCAGGGAGAGTGGGGCAGGCTCTTGTCGGGGGCGCAGCAGCCCCCCGTTCGCAGCTCGCGCAACCACTGGGCCCAGCAGCTGCCCTGACCTGAAGGGGAGGGGCGTCAGCTTGCTGAATGCCAGCAGGTAGATGGTGCCGTTGCCGCTCATGACCAGGAACAGGGAGAGCAGGGTGGGGGCGGAGTCGCGAGGTGGGTACACAGAATGGTAGCACAGGCAGCCGCACATGACCTGCACCAGGTTGCCAATGGCAAGCGCCCAGCACCGCTGCCTGCGGGTAACGGAGGGTGGGAGCAGCGATCAGCATGGGGTCGCCATCCAGGGGATTGGAGGCCCACATGGGGGGAGGAGGAGGCAGGAGGTGGGGAGGAGGTGGGCGGGTGGTAGCGGCAGCGGCGGCAGATGGTCAGCCTCACTTGAAGGGGAGGCCTGGCTGCTTCCAGGCGACCCACAGCGAGCTCGCGCTGCAAAAACACGCGAGCATCGATAGGCAGGCTGCGGCCCTGCATGGCACAATGGGAAGGGGAGCAGGGGGGAGCAGCGGCGTAGCGGTGCTGGCGTTGGGGGTCCGGCTATACGTGCAGGCCTCCTGGCCGGTTTGCGGCTGCCAATCGCTGCACCATGCCCTCGTACCGCTCCCAGGCAGGCCACCAGCGGAGCAGGCGCCCTCCCTCGCACCAGTCGCTGGCCCTCAGCGCTTGGAAGGCCCAGGTGCAGCAGCCCAGGATCCGTAGCTGCAGCTCTGTGGGCCTTGACTTAATCACCAGGCTCGCCCGGAACTCTGCCTCCCTTTGGAGGTCTCGAAAAGTGAGAGAGAGGCACCGCATGCCCACTAGTGTTTGGGGAAGCTCTAACGGAGGCCGATTATTGGAGCTGGGCGTGTGAAAGGCGGTGGGAGCGCGGATGGCAGTGGGTTTGGCTGAGGTGGCATAGCGTGCGTGCCGCCACCGCTTGGTCGTGCACTTTGGACAGCCTAGCATTCACATCAATGTGGGTTGGAAAAAGTGAACAATACAGCAACATACAATACACTCACAAAATAAACAACAAACACGAGCAGTCATGGGCCGCTCGCGCGCCCTCGCGTCGGTAGCAGAGCGCGGGTGTCGCCCCGCCCCGCCTCACCGCCGCCCGGCTGCAGCTGCAGCTGCACCAGCAGCCGCTCCGCCTCGCTGGAGCGGCAGGACAGCAGGCGGCTGAGCAGGCCGAGCTGGCGCCCCGCCTGCGAGGCATCACAGGCCGCCATGAGCTGCAGGTGCTCCAGGTGGGCGGTCAGCGCCGCCAGCTGGCGGCGCGCCGCCGCCGCCTCCTGCCGCGCCGCCGCCAGCGCCCCCTGCTCCTCTGCCAGCCTCCGCTGGGCGGCCTCCAGCTGCGCACACATCGCGGCCAGCGCCTCCCTGGCCGCCGCCGCCTCCTCCCGCCGCGCCCGCCGCTCCGCGGCGGTCGCCGCCTGCGCCGACTCCAGCGCCGCCGCCGCAGCAGCCGCCTGGCGGGCCAGCTGCTGCTGCAGCGCCGCCACGACGTCCTGCAGCTGCTGCACCTGAAGCGCCACTGCCGCCGCCGCGTGCTCCTTTGCGGCGGCCTCTGTTGCGGCAAACAGCTCGTTGTCGAGCAGGGAGAAGGCGCAGGCACCCGCCTCCCCTGCGCCCTGCTCCCACTCTGCCTCTGAGCTGGCGGTGGGGCGGTACAGTGGATTGCTGGACTCCCCGCAGTACAGTACCACCTCCGCCTCGGCGCTGCTGCTGGCAGCTACGCCAGTCCCGCCCCGGTACAGCGGGTTGTGCTGCAGGCTGGCGCTGGCGGCGACACCGCCCTCCGCCTCGCCATCACCGCTGTCCCAGCTGCCGCTGTCAGAGGAGGAGGGGCCCGCGCCCTCGCTGCCATCGAAATGCTGGCAAACAAGGGGAGGGCAAGGTGCAGGTGCGGGCTCCCATCAAGGTCCCAGCCAGCGCACAGACCAGCAGCAACGGCCGAGCCGGGCGGGCCGGGCTGCGTGGGGGCCAGGCAGAGGCAGCGGGAGCTTACCTTGGACCAAGAGCTGGCGGCGCGGGCGGAGGGGAGGTGGAAGGAAGGGTACCGCAGGCTGCGCCGGGCAGTGGCGGGGCGCGGCGGGCTGCGCAGCAGCTCCTCTATCTCTGACACACGCCTGGCCACGGTGCCCACAGGGACGGGGGCATCCAGCCCCGGCACGGTGCCCGTCGCAGCCAGGCGCGCTGCTCCAGCCTCCAGCGGCCGGAAGCCTGCGCCGTCTGCCTCTGCTGCCGCAGCCGCTGCCTCCTCCTCTGGCGCCGTCGGCCAGCGGCGGGGCCTGGCGTTGGCAGCACCAGCTGCGGCGGGGCTTCACAGCGCTCCTGGGGGTGCGGCGCCGGGGTGGACACCGCAGCCGGGCGGCACCCGGCCAAGCCCTCTCCCGGCGGGCTGCCGCCGGCTGCTGGCGCAGGGACCGGGGGCCGGCCCGGCTGCGGTGCAGCCTGTGGCGCCTCCAGCAGCGCCGCTCCTGCTGCTGGCTCTGCTGCCATCTCTTGTGGCGACAGCACCGCTTTTGCTGGCGGTGCCTCCGCTCCAGCCGCGTCTGGAGACGTCAACAGGCTGCCTACCACCGACACAGTCACGCTGGCATCCGCTGCCGCCTCATAGGCTGCCCCTTCTTCGTGCTCATCACCCGAGCCCGCGCCGCCCGCATCAAGCACGGCCTCGACAACATCCGTGGCTGCCGCCACGGCACCCGCCTCCTCCTCCTCCTCCTCTTCCTGCTCCTCCTGCTCTCCCCGCTCGTCCAAGAGCTGCTGCAGCCGGGCCAGCATGCGATCGCCCCGCAGCAGTGCGACAGATGCCGCCAGCACGGCTGCCGCGCAGCAGACCGCGGCGGTGGAGGCCGCCTGCACGGGGCGGGGCGCCAGGGAGGGTAGAGCTGGCAAGCCTATCGGGGGAGCCCATACAGCATGGCAGCCGCACGAGGCAGGCAGCGGCCGAGAGGCACGTTGTCGGCATTAGCATCAGCAGCACACCACCGCCCGGCCCTTGCGGTCACTCACCTTGCACAAGTCACAAGTGCACCAGGCAGGGCTGGCCTCGGTGCCTGCACTGTGGCTCCCTGCACCGGCGCCGGCGTCGATATCACACACAACAGCCGCAGAGGCTGCGCAGGCAGCGATGGCCTTGGCTGCCGGCGCCTCTGCAGCGTTGACCTCCACCGCCGCCTGGCTCAGCTGCTGCTTGCAGGTGTGAGCATCGCTGGCTGCCGCCGCCTCTGCCTCTCTGAGCTCCACGACTGCCTGGCGGAGCTGCTGCTTGCAGCCCTGTGCCTCGCTGGCACTGGCTGACAGCTCGCCGTCGCAGCGCTGCCCCTCCGCAACAGCAGCTTTCAGCCGCTGCTCGCCGTCCTGTGCGGTGCTTCGGCAGGCCGCCAGCTGCTGCACGCAGCGCTCGCCCTCGGCGCCAGCAGCTGCAAGCTGCTCCCTGCACTGCTGCTCGCCGCCGATGCAGGCCCCCACCTTCCGCTCGTGGTCCCGGGAAGCGCTGGCGCATGCTTCCAGCTGATCTGCGCTGGTTTTGGCAGCATTCCGGCAGGTTGCCAGCTGCTCGTTGAGGCTGCCGGCACCGTGGCGACAGGCTGCCAGCTGCCGCTCGTTGTCGCTGGCTGCATGGCTGTATGCTGCTGCCTCCTGCTGGCACACAGATGTCTGTACAGTTGTGGCTGAAAGCTCCTTGCTGCAAGCTGCCAGCTCCTGCTGCAACTGGCCTACCAATGGGTCTCCCGGCGGTGCAGGGGCTGGTGGCGCCAGGGGCAGCTCTGATTTGCGAGACAGGTCCACTGTGGCGCTCCCCACGGCGGTGCTCCCCTGCACCTTGCTGCCAAACCAGCGCCGTGCCGTCAGCAGGAGCTGGCCCGCAACGCACAGCGGTGCCGCTGGCGGCTGTGCGGGCTGCCAGGTGGCGAGGATACCGACGCTGGGCGCCTCGCTGGCCCGGGACACCAGCAGGTGGAGCGTGATGGCAGCCAGGATGCCAACCAGAACCAGGACGCCGCCCTCGCCGCTCCACCGCCGCTTCTTGTCGGCCGCAGCATCGCTATGTGCCCTGCAGCAAGCACAAGAGACCCGGAGTGAAGAAGAGGGCGAGTGGCGGCAGGCGGCGGGATGCCGCGAGGGCGGCAACACCAGGGCGATGCCAGCCGTGTTGCTACTGAGGCGCCATGGCTGCGGAACACCAAGGGGCGGCAGTCAGCAGCGAAATAGGGGTATAAACCACTGACTTTGGGAGTTTCTTGGATGGCGGGCTCCCGTCCAGCTCGCTTGACTCCAGCCGCTTCACACACAGGCGTTTCGACCTTGAACAAGCTGCCGCTTGCGCCCTCGTCAGCGGCATGCTGCTGCAAGCTCAGCTCTGCCCGAGAGTACGAACATCCGCTGAACCCTTAGCTTCCGCTCCGCCTGTAAGCAGGCTATAGCACTGTAGGCTATAGCACTGTAGCCTGTTACATGTAAGAAGCCGCAAACCAGGGGGTGGACAAGGACACAGGGCAGGATGCACGCCCCGGCACGTTGGCACCTTGTTGGCGGCCACCCGCCCCGATCCCCAAGGCGGGCCCGCTACCCGTCGCTCTCCTCCGAGCTGCCGTCGCTGGTCCAGGCATCCTCGTGCTCCTGCACCATCTCCACCAGCACGTTCCTGCCCGCACCAGCCGCGGCGGCTGCCGCTGCTGCCGGGCGCGCCGCCCGTCGGCCCGTCATCACCGCCCACCGATGCTCCTGCTGCTGCTCTGTACCGCTGGCTGCCGCTGCCGCTTGCTGCGCATCCGGCCTGTTGTGCGCAGGCCGTGGCGCCACTGCCACCGCGGTCCAAGTGGAGCCCTCAGGCGCGTTGCCACCCGCCTCGGCGCCTGCCCACCCTCGGCTGCTGGCGCTGCTGCTGGGCACAGGCGGCGCCGTCGCCACCGCAGTCTTGGGGCGCCAGGAGCGGTCAATCCTGAACAGGCCGCGGATGCCGCCACCCAACACATCCAGCGCCTCTGCGCGATCAGCATGGGAACAGGGCAGTGCAGGGCAGGGCAGGGCAGCGTCGGGGATCAAGGGCAGGCTGCCTGCCTGTGTTGGGACCCCGATCCTGGGAGCTGCCAGGACGGGAGCAGGCGCAGCCCGCCGCCCGCCCTCACCCTTCAGGTCCTGCTCGCGCTCGAACCGCACGATGGCGGCATCGCCCCCCTGCCACTCCAGGCGGTAGGCTCCCTCCCACTGCCGCAGGTAGAAGCGCAGGTCAACAGACATGGCTATGTCTGCGGGTGGTGGGTGGGCGGGGCCAGGGAGGGGCGCCAGGTGGCGTCAGGTGCGCAGCGAGGCAGGGTGGCGAGGGTGGGCAGCGACGTGCGGTAGGGGAGTGGGCGGGCTTGAGACGATGACACCAGGCAGGGCGCGCTTCAGCGCCTGGCAGGCCACACCAGCAGCGGCGGCAGGGCCGGGCGCATCGGCGGCAGGCGGCAGCGGCGGCGCACCCATCAGGCGCATGGGGTGGCCCTCGCTCTCCCTCAGCAGCTGGGCCACCTCTGAGGCAGGGACCGTGGGCGCCACTCTGCGGGCGAGGCGGTCGGTAGGGGGGGACGCATGGCCCGCCGCCAAGTAGGTGCTCAACAGTCGGCTCCTGCCACCACCACCACCACGCATCCAGCAGACACACGCGCTCACGCACGACGCCCACCATCCCTGCCCCACCCACACCGCGCCACCGCGCCCCGCACCTGGACAGCAGGCGCGCGGGGATGCCGGCGGCGGGCGTCTTGAACAGCTCCACATACCGCGCAGGCTCCTGCCCATACCCGGTGGTGGCCAGCCCATACTGCTCCGCCAGGGCGTGCACCACGGCGCGCTGCTCGCGCGGCATCGCAGACAGGCTCACCCTGCAGGCAGCGGCGCAGCTGGCGGGGCGGCGGTCAGCAGGAGGGGCAGGGCAGGTGGCACGCGCAGGTGGTGGGTCGAGGCTCCCCCTCCCTGCTGCGGCTGCCGGGCGCCTCCCTGCCTGCCTGCCAGGCGAGGCGCAAGGCCCTCCCACCCAGGTTCCTCTCTCGCTCACCTCTTGGCCTCCTTGTCCGCCACAAACTCCGCCAGCTGTCGCTCCACGCCCTCCACGAACCGCGGGTTCTGCTGCGCCGCCGCCAGCAGCAGCCCGCTGTAGGTGACAGACCTGCGGGGCGGCGAGGCGCGCGGGGGCCGGCAGGGTTCAGCCAACATCGGGCGGTGAGCCTGGAGGAGACGCCTGCCTGCCCGACTGGCATGCTTGGCAGCGTGTTGGCAGGCAGCCCGCCCGGGCCTCCCGTGCAACGCGGCAGCCAGCGGAATCACCTCTGCCGCTCAAAGGCGCCGGCATGGTGGGCCGGGTCGTCCATGCCAAATGCATCCGCCAGCTGCTGGCGCCGCCCCTCAATGCGGCACACTGCAACGGAGCAACGCACCAGCGCACTTTTTGTGCCACACCTTCCAGAGCAGGCATACGGTGGGCAGGCAGGGGCCAGCCCCAGGGAGACGCAGAGGCCGCCAGCACAGGCAGGCCCCAGCCCACCCGCGTCACACTCCAGGGGTGGCACCTCCTGCCCTTCAGCCACAGCATAGTGGCTCACGCGCCTGCAGGCAACGGCACAGGCGCGCTTACATGCGCTGCCCGCCCGTGCGCGTGCCCTCAACACTGCGACGTGCCCCCAGAGCAGACCACAAGGGACACTTCATCGGCAGGCGGCAGGAAGCAGGCGGCAGGATGCTGGCGAGCCTGCCAGGCCACCCACCTGCCACAGGGGCACTTCACCGTCTTCTTGACGAGCGGCGGCGGCCTGCTGCTGCCGGCGCCGCCGCCCCCGCCGCCCTCTCCTGCCGCTGCGGCCGACAGCGAGGGGAAGTCGCCGCCGCCCCGCTGCTGCCGCTGCGGGCGGTGCTCCGCCCAGCTGCCGGCGCCCATCAAGCCGCCACCACTGCCGCTGCCGCCGCCGCCGCCGCCGCCAGGGTACGCTGCTGCCGGCACATCTGCGTCGTCAATCACCCGCAGGCCTCCGTCTGCCTCCCGGGCATACTCAAAGCCAGCGGGCCACTGGTCGGGTGGCGGGCCCTCCCCGGGGCGCGCACCCTCCATCATGCGTACGTCCTGCGGCCCGCGGCTGCGCTGGCGCTGACGCCGCCGCTCCGCCGTCGCCTCGGCCGCCGACAGCGGGCCCTGGCGGCGGGCAAAGGAGATGTCGAGCTGCAGCGGGCGGGCGCGGCTGGAGTCCCAGCGCGGCATGCGGGCTGCAGGCATGCGGGCAGGGACAACAAGACGGTCAATCAGCCGCTTGCTTTGTCCCAAGGTGGCACGGCACCGCATCTGCGGCTGCAGACGGACGCTGCGTGCCACCACCGCACACCGCCCTCCCTGGCACCGCCGCCCCACCCGGGCCCCTGGGCCGCGGCACGCCGGGCAGGCGCCCCACCCGAGTGCCGCTCCAGCTGGTGCCTCCTCAGCTCATCCGCGGTGGCAAAGGCCACAAAGCAGTCGGCGCACTCGGGCTCATCACACATGAAGTGCTCAGACCTGCGGGCGGCGGCGGCGGCGGCGGCGGCAGAGGCGTCATGCAACGAGGAGCAGGGAGCAGGGCGACTGTCGGTGCCGCCTGCTGGGCGCACGCTCCGCAAGGGAGCGCAGGCGCAGGCGCAGGCGCAGGCGCAGCCACAGCCACAGGCGCAGGCGCAGCCCTGCCAGCGTGCCTCATGTGGCGCAGCAGGTCGGGGGCTCTGTTGAAGTAGGCGTGGGCGGCGACGGGGGGCGGGCACACGTGGCAGGAGAAGTGAGCCTGCGGGTGGCACCCGGGGGGGTGCAGGGGGTGGAGGTGACCTTGGGACCGCCGCTCGCCCCGCTCAGGCCTCTGCCGGCCAGCTACAAGCGCCCGCTCAGAAATTTGCCGGCCCGCTACACAAGCGCACGCCAGGCAGCTGCACCCCAGCCAGCTCCCAGCCCCCAGCCTCTGCACCGCAGCCCACCCACCCCCACCTGGTGCATGTGCTTCCACAGCGCATCGTCATCATAGAAGGTGCGGCGGCAGAAGCCGCAGTGCGGGTGGGCGGCCTCGCTGTGCGCCTGCAGCGCCTGCAGGCTGGGGAAGGCCTGCAGCTCCAGAGGGAACAGGCGCCCCTCCTGCGCACACAGGGTGCGGCGCAGGGGCACGGGCGCGTGTCAGGGGCCGGGCCACTGTGGGCGAGCGTGCATGTTTTCTTCTTGGCAGCGGGGCAGTGTGGGAGGTGTGTGATGCACGTGGTGGCGGCCAGAAGCCAATAGGATGGCAACCGCAGCCCACACGCTGGCACAGGCGGAGCAGCCAGCGGGCATGCGCCGCACCTGCAGGCAGAGGCTGCACAGGCGCAGGCCGTGCGCCTCCTGCACGTGCACCAGCAGGTGCTCGCGCCGCGCCAAGGGCGCCTCGCCGCCCGGGTCGCACACGGCGCAGGCCAGCGCGGTGCGGCGCTGCAGGTCGTGCAGGAGGCGGGAGCTGAGGCGGCCGCCGCGGCGCCACCTGAGGGGAGCAGAGGGCGCGAGGGGCGATGGGGGTGGGCTGGGTCGGGCACGAAAACAAAAGCTGTGCGCCAGGAGGAGGCAGGCGGAGGAGGGCAGGTGCTGGGAATCCTGACCGCCACCACATCACGCAGCCAGCTGGACCAGTCCCCCGCCCCGAGCGTGCCAGGCCCACGCCGCCAACAGGCCCACGCTGCCCCAAAAGGCAGGCTGCAGCGCCTCACCTGTCCGCCCAGATGCTGCCGTGCGCCCACTTGGCGCTGCGCGCCAACCACTCTGGGTGCTGCTCAAAGGCCTGCCAGTCGGGGAGCTGCGGGCGCCAGGGAGCGATGATGACCTGCAGCGGTGGCAGCAAGGACGGGGGGAGGGGTGGGGTGGGTGAGGAGGCAACGCATGAGCACACAGCTCCAAAAACAACGTGCGGCATGGGTTCTGTGCCACCAATGGTCGATTCAAAGGGCACACAGCCGCGACCGCTACCCCTCATCCTGCTGACAGCCTGCTGGCCCCCGCCGCATGCCGGCGGCTGTGGGTGGGCAAGCACGTGCAGGCACACATGGCACAAGCGCAGACGCATGCCGCCATGCCTTCCGCCTCACCTCCTTGAGCTCAGCCTTGCACAGCGGGCAGTCCTGGCGATCGTAGCAGAGGCGCAGGCGCAGGGTGCACGTACCGCACACCTGCTTGTGGTTGCAGGCGCCAATCCCAACCTCTGCCATCTCGTGGCAGCACACAAGGCAGTGCGGCGCATCTGGCAAGGGCTCCGGAGGCTGGGGGCCAGCAGCACCACTGCTATCCAAGGCTGCTGCATCGCCGGCGGCATCGGCGCCCCGCTCCCCCGCCTGCCGCTCCTGGCGCTGCCTACTGCGGGGCTCCTGGCGCGGCTGGGCAGCTGTATTCGCTGCTGCCTCCAGTCCTCCTGCTGCTGCTGCTTGTTGCTGCGGCTGTGCCTGGCCACCCAGCTGGGTGCCCGCACCTTCTGCATCTGATGATGACGAGGGCTCCCCGCCTGCAACTGGCGCTGCCTGCTGCCGCCGCTGGCGATCGTTGGCAGCGCCGCTGGCAGCTGCCTCTAATGGTCGCAGCAGGCTGCCAGCACCACGCTGCTGCTGCTGCTGCTGCTGCTGTGGGCGAGGGGGCCGCTCACGACGGCGCGGCTGCGGGACGGGACGCGCCTGCTGCGCCTGCTCCAGCTCTGGCGGCGCTGAAGCCGCCTGACGTTGGCCAGCGGCAGGACCCCGGCCAGCAAACTGCGCCTGGTGCATGCCGGGCACCGCCGCTGTGCCGTCGCCAGCTAGTCCCTGGCCCCTGCCTCGCCCCCGGCCGCCGCTGCGAGGCCGCCGCTCCCGCTGCGGCAACCCCAGACCTCCCTGCGTCGGGTCCCCTAGAAGACGTGACGAGGGCTGAAAGGGCGGTGCTGCAGGACTCAGCAAAGCTTGCTGCTGCCAAGTGAGGCCAGGCGGCGGCGGCGCGTTCGGCCCCGGTGGCGGCGGCACCAGCTGCTGCTGCCGTTGATCCGGAGAAGGCCGCGTTCTTCTGCTGCGAGGCTTTCTGCTGCTGCCGCTGGTGCTGCCGCCTCCTGGCTGCTGCTGGGACGCGCCATCACCCGCCACCACCGCCACCGGGTGGGCAGTGGCGCCGGCTGATGCAGCCTGATCTGCCATCGCCCTGCCCTCGCCACGGGAGAGTCCAAGTCCAGTCCACTCCCGCCCCCGGCGCCTCTCCACTGTCGAGTCTGGAAGCAAAATGGAAGAGCCCAGGTGCCAGAAATAATCTGGCACGAAGGTTAGAAAAGCAATGAAGTGAGCGCATGTTGTCCATTGCCAGCCGCCAGCACTGCGCTTCCCGTCGCCTGCTGGCCTAGCACCGCATCATGCAACTAGAGCCCCATTGCTCATGGTAATGTTACAAGCCTGAAGCAATGGTGAATGCGCTACAGCTAGGCAGAGTCCTGGCATGGCAACCCACGTGCTGGCTGCCCGACAAGCAGCAGGCGAGGCAGCCAGAGCCGCCTCCCCTGCGCAAGCAAGGCAAATGGCGGCGGCCTCAAGGAAACTGCGTGGAAGCTCATGGGAGGCGCCCTAGGAGGGCAAGCCAGGACTGGTCAAAGTGGGATGGATGAATGGGTTGTTGGAAGTGTTGCTGCGGAGAGGTACAGGCACGGGATCAATGAAAGCATGCAAACACAGTAAGAGGACACAGCAACGTGGCTCCTGGATGGCCCCGAGGAAAAAACAGCTGCATGGGATTGGGGCGTCCCCACGAAGCTGAGGAGGCGGGGGTGCCCCGTGGGCGAACTTCTGCAGGGAGTGGGAAACAACAGGAGGATAAATGAAAGGGGGCGGGGGGTGGCAGCACAGGCATGGGAGGGGGAGTGGGCCGCCGCAGGGTAGTGTACAGCAGAGGCGCAAGGGGATGCAGATCAGGATGCGATGCAGACGGGAAGGATGGATTGCTTGGGGGTAAGCACAGAGAAAAAATTGGGAGCCCACCGCGGAGGGTGGGGAGCGGGCGGCGCCTATAGCAAACGAATGCCGTTGAATGAATGCCGGCTGCCAGGCAGGCAATGGCGGGCAGCGGGAGGGGGTGGTGGGGGGTGGGGGGAGATCGATCAAGTGCCGGGCTGAACCAGGGGGCATGGAATGGCAATGCTACAGAGGAGGGGGTGCGAGCTTATCAATGATGCCATCCCGAGCTGGCGGAATCGCCGTGGGCGCGCCCCAGGCCGCGCCAGCAACGCCCCGGGCGATCAGGCGGGCGCCTCAGGCCAGCTCATAGTGCGGGAAGGCGAAGCCGGCGGGGCCGGCCCGCACAGGCGTCAGCTCCAGCTTCTGGTCGGGGCTGGAGGAAGGGTCAAAGTAGTAGCCCGTCACCTTGCCGCTGGCCCTGCGGCGAGGGAGGGTGCGAGGGGCGGCGGCAGCGGTGAGCGCAAGCAGCGGTGGGAGCGGCAGGCACCCCCGGCGCGACGCCGGCATGCGCACGCCCCCTGCTGCTGGCTCTGGCTCCGCACCCCCCACCCAGGCATGCACCTGTTGATGGCAAGGTAGTAGAAGCCCGCGATGGTGAGGCGGCACTCGCTGCCGCGCACAAAGAACTGCTCCTTCCACCGCATGTAGACGTAGGGGTGGGCGGCCAGCGCGGGGCAGCGCCCGCCGTGGCGCACCACCTGGGCGTGCAGCTGGCGGAAGGGCCCAAACTTGGACCAGTGCAAAAAGTCGGTGTCGGCGCAGGCGTCCCAGTCGGCTGTGAAGAAGGTGAAGTTGCGGTTGTCAATCACTTCCCCCTCGAAGAAGGTCGTCACGGGGGCGGGCATGTCGGGCACGTTGCTGGCTGCGCGCACAGCAGGGGAGGGGGCGCGCCGCGGTCACGCACGCCGTGTGGCAGGCGCGCGCCCGGGGCGGCGAGAGCAGCGGGCGAAGCGCTGCGCAGCGCCCGGGGCCACCCACCTTCCATCGTGCCTGCCACGTAGCCTTTGGCGGGGTCGTAGTGCTGCGCGGGAGGCGGGGTGGGAGCGGCAGGATGAGGAGCTGGCCAGGGGGCGCAGGCGGCGGGGCAGCGGCTGGCGGCAGGCTGGGACACAGCCCGCTGCTGCTGCAGCATGGGCCGCTTGGGCGCCGGCACCGCGGGGATGGCAGCGGGCCAACCCAGCCGCTGCTGCCCAAGTGTGCGAGGGGAGCACCAGGCAGCATGGGGCTGGGAGGCTGCGCCTATCACCAGGCGGCATGGGGCTGTGGGCGGCGGAAGCACCCTACAGGCACGCACCTGGATCACCGCCTTGACCTCCCAGGTCTCCTGCTTGGGGATGGCGCCGTGGTGGTGCGCCACGCGCTGGCCCCCCTCGAAGGACTGCCCTGGGCGCAGGAAGGCGCAGGGTGCCGGCTGCGGGAAGGTGGCGAGCGAGGAGGGGGGGATGCGGTGCGGCGGGCCCGGCGGAGATATCGCCAGCTGCTGCCGTTGCTGCTGCGCCGCTGCCGCCAGCGCTGCCGCTAGTGAGTCCTCCACCTCCTCCCAGGCCTCCTGCCCGGGCCTGCTGCCATCAGCCGGGCGCGGCGAGCTGAGGATGGTGGCCAGCGCCGCGTCGCCGCCGTCGGGCAGCAGCGCAGCAGCCCTGCCCGTCGCCCCCGCCCGGCTCTGCCAGCTGCGCTCGCTGGGCAACGTGTCCCGCCACTCCCTGCGACGCGGCGGCTGCGGCGAGGCGGAAAAGCGGCACCTTTAAGCGTCCGCGCTTGAATGCCCTCAATTGCTGGGGGGGTGGAGCAGGCTTGGGCATACCTGCTGCTCAGCGCTGTGCTCCCCCGTCATCGTGTCCTCCGAGGTGTTTGGCGCTGGTGGAGAATGGACAAGTGCCGCCCACAAACGGCGTGCCCCCCCTGAGAATGGCTGAAGCTAAACGGGCCACCAGAAGGGCCTTGCGGCGAGTTTCCTGCGTTTGCAGCTGCGGCAAGGGCCCAACACCGCCTCAAATGGCTCCTCCGCCATGACCCGGGTGTGCGGCTCACAGCCCACAAAAGCGCAGCGCTCGCAGCGCACCGGCGGCGGATGCCGCCGCAGGAGCGTCCACACACCTCCAGTGTTACCACGTTCGACAGAAATGCTTACATCAGCCGCATCACGCACCAGCAGATGCCTGCTCGGATCCCGCTGCCTGCTGCTTGCCGCCCGCTGCTGCCGCCGCCGCCGCCTGCTGCTTGCCGCCGCCACCGCCCGCTGCTGCCGCCTGCCGCCACTCGCCCTCCCGGCCCTGCCGCACATCATCCAGCAGCTCCACCATCAAGGCCTTGAACGCACCCGAGCAGGTGGGGACCTGGCACACAGGCAGAGGGAGGCAGGCAGGGCGGCGGTCAGGGCCTCACAGCAGGGCCTCACTGTGAGGATGACCTTGGCAGGCAAACCGATGAGCTTGCCCAATTGCTCAAGAAGGAGCGGCATGGCACCAAGGTTGGAGCATGACAGAACAAGCACCAGCCAACAGCACATGCCACCACCTCACCATGTGGGCGCCAGGGTGCGTGAAGGTCTGCACAGTGCCCCGCTCCCAGCAGTCATACAGCGCTTGCGTCCGCTCCTCAGGCACCAGCGCGTCGGCAGCACCGAGCACGTGCAAGCTGGGCAGCGTGGGGCGGCCTTGGCGCAGCGCTGCCGCATACGAGGCATCCCGTGGCAGGAAGCCGGCAATGTGCACCGAAAAGCGCAGCTGGTGCTGCCGCCGCTGCGCCTGCTCGCCACCAGCCGCTGTGTGGGCCAGGTACAAGGCCGCCGCGGTCGCACCCTGGCTGAAGCCCAGCAGCCCGTCTATCGGTGCGTGTGCCTCCAGTGCTGCTTGGATGGCCGCCTGCGACGCGTCCCACCCGCTGTAGTGCGCTGCACGCGACGGCCGCGTGCCAGGCTCCAGGTCGGTCCACCGCCTGCAAGCACAGGAAGAGGTGCGTAGTTGGAGCACCCCATGGGAAGCTGGTCGCCGTTGCCTGGCTGGAGGCAGGCCCAGAAGCAGGCAGGCCTGGGTTATTGAGCCTGCCTGGCATCAAGTCGTCCTCGAGCTGTTTCAACCACTCACCACCAGGAGCGGCCCAGTGAGCCGGCCGTGCCATCGCTGTCATCCACCGACTGCTGGCCCTCCGGTTCAGATGGGTACGGCGCATCAATGCAAACAAACTCTGCACGTGACCTGAGCGCCTTGCGCAGCGAGCCAATGCGGGAGCAGAAGACCTGCAGAATGCAGAGGCATTCATGTTGGCAGGCAGGCAGCGGGGTGGGCTGTGGGACCCGTTTGTGTTGGCAGGCAGGTAGCGGGGTAGGCTGTTGGGCCAAAACTATCCGGGCTGCACCTCGGCATTTTGCATGTAGCCATGGAGGCACAGCAGCCTCAGTTTTCGGTTGCCAATAGGGGGAGCGAAAGCAGACGACGGCTCTGCTGTTTGCGCCAGCGCCGCCGCCGCGCCAGGAGCTGGATGGGTCATGTGCCCTCGCCGAAGATGGCGTGCTGCAGGGCGGACAGGCACGGCAGAGCACGGCTGTGGCAGCAGCAACAGACTGTGTGAGAAGCGCAGTGGACCGCTTGCACCCATGAACCGAGCTGGCAGCGGTGGCAGCGTGGGAGCAGGAGGAGTGTTCGTAACTTTGGATCTAAAGTCGATGTGAGAGCAAAACTTCAGTGCCAAGTTGGCACATTGTTCAATCACACTCAGCTGAGCGCGTGAGCTTGTTGGGACGCCCGTCGTTGATCATCACAAATTATTCACCTGGGAAGGAACCTCCAGTGCTGCAGCCGCCCAACACCCATCACCCTGTAGCTCCCCTTCCGGGCGCAGCAGCGCGTCTACCAGATCTCCTCCATATGGCGGGCCAGCAGCAGCTGCCGGCGGGCCTCAAGGAGCTGCTGGCCGAGCTGGAGGACTATGCGCCGACGGTGAGGCGGCAGCGGGCTGGACGCCCGTCGCTGACGTCCTTCTGGAGAGCTGGCGGCTCAGTGCCACTGGCTCCCTGTTACCTCCAGGTGCCCGACCAGGTCACGCAGCACGCATTGAGACAGAGCGGCTACGACTGCAAAGACGTCAGAACGTGAGTGGTGTTTCAATTTACAGACGCGCGTTTAGATGTATGTTAACATTAACATCATCAGCATCAGCAATAGCATAACCTGCAACGCAATCCTTTATTTGTATATTAGTATTAGCAGTAGCAGTAGCCTGCTACTGCTAAAGGGAAATGAAACCTTCATTTGTATATTAAGCATTATCACATTAGCATATTTGTATGTGAGCACTTGCAATAGCATTTGAAAAAGTGATATGAGCATTTTTCGCATTTGTATATTAGCATCAGCATTTGCATTAGCATTAGCAAAACAACAAGTTATATTCATGATGCCGCCTGCCTGTTCCTAGGCGGCACTGTGCTATCGGCTGCATCACCCCTATTGGCTGCATCACCCCTATTGGCTGCATCATCAGCAAATCCTCCCTTCGGTTCCCGCCCGCAGGGTGCGCATGATCTCGGTGGCGGCGCAGCGCTTTGTCGCGCAGGTGGGCTGCCCCCAACGCAGGCTTTGCCTTTTGCTTCGCCCTACAGCCTACAGCCTCAGCAGCCTGTGCGTTCACCTCGCCACCTGGCCACCCGTGCTGACCCCGGCACATGTTGCTGGCCCGGCACATGCCAGCAGGTGTTGGAAGAGGCGTACAATGCGCACAAGCTGCGCCAGATGGCGCCTGCCGCCAAGCTGAAGGAGGCCGGGTATGACCCCAAGGACAAGCGGGAGCTGCTGACGGTGGAGGACCTTCTCAAGGCACTAGAAGAGGTGAGGGGGAGTGTACGGCCCGGGGGTGGGCATGGGGGATAACATATGGAGGTGGCGGTGCTGGGGGGCCGTCCAAGGTTAGGGAAGGGCGAGGTGAGCTGGCATCAAGTGCTGGTGCACATGCCAGCGATTCCATGCTGCCATCCCATCCAGCAGCAAACGAGGCTCGCAATTGCGGCTCGCCCCCATGGTGTGCAGTATGGGGTGAAGGCTGGGCGGCCGCCATACTACACCACAGCCAAGCCGCAGTGAGCCATGGAAGCATGTCCGCACCCGCCATGCACCGGCATGCCCCCCTCTGCTCGTTTCTCGTGTTGCTCGCCTCTGCGCTCAATCTCCCTGCTCTACCGCACCTGCTGCTGCCACCTGTTCTGAAGCACTGCCACCAGTTTTTTTGTTTCCTTGTCCATACACTTTGTCACATGCTGCTGCTGCACGGCATGCCGACATGCAGCCAGCATCCATTTCCTCCCTCCAGCCGCAAGGACTGCAGCCGGTACTCACTCTTGTGCAGGAAACGTCTCCCCTGACGTGAGCTTGGGGAACAGAGGCTCCTGCTTCTCCTGCAGCCATGCCTGGATGCGCTGCTGGTTCTCGCTGCCCTGCCCTGCCCTTTCGGGTGGCATCGCATTGAAATAATCCTCAAAATTGCGGCGATAGTAGTCATCCAGCCGCTCCTGCAGCATTGGCACATGCGAAGCAAGTGAAACAATCATATGCAAGGTGGTGGCATGTTCCAGCGAGGGTGTGTGGCGGCAAGACTGCAACGCGCCCTGCCCCGGTTACCTTCCGCCGGTCTTCCTTCTTCTCCTCTGTCCGCCTCAGCAGCTCTGCAGGTACAGTGCACCATTGATGAAGATGAGTGTGGACCAACTGCATGCAGCGGCGCCATGTGCATTGATGTCGCCTCGCCTATACGTGCTATGCATGATGCTCTCACCTTGGATGAGGGGGCTGCTTGCAGAGTCCACGCCGCCGGCATTCTCGGCTGCTTGAGCTGGCTGCCTCGCCACTGCCCACATAAGTGCTGGAATGGCCAGCAGCGCCCGCCGCCTATGTGCCACCGCCTTGCACTGCCGCACCCGCCGCCCCGGCAGCTCGATGCCCTGCACGCTTGACGGAGAGGCGTGATGCGGGGACCTCTGTACACTAAACTGAATCAACGGCTGACCCAGAGAGTGGTGTGGCGCTCGGGTCTCGTGATGTGTGCTCACCTGGGCAACCACGGGAGCTGCACTGCAGGAGACTACACCGATCATGTTTTGTTTTCGTGTAAGTGGAGCTGCGCATGGTTGGAGGATCTGGTGGAGCGACCAAACCACGGACACCTCAGCGGCCGCCGCCGCTGGGCCGGAATCGTTGACGGTACATTCAATCAAATCAAAGGGCCTTTCACCAATTAAATCATCAAGGAACCTCTGCTGCCACCCTGCTTCCTTCAAACGCATTTAAAAATGTGCTGCATCTTCAACGGCGGGGCGGCATGCCGTGTGCCGTGTTGTGCTTTGTGGCGGCACGGTCTGCGATCCAGCCAAACACCGAGGTGGCCAGCGGCAGGATAGGACCCAGCAGCACCTGGACCAGCAGCGGGAAGCGCTTGGGGCTGCAATGCAGGGAGGAATGGCAGGCAACTTAAGCTGGGGTGTAGTGCCAGTCCGCGACCACACACACATGCACGCATCCTCCCTGAGCTGCCCCACCGGCCTACCTTAGGCTGGTCATGCCGCTGACCAGCAGGTTCTGGCCCAGGTCGGCAGAGGGCAGGTGATACTGCCCCCGCTCAATGCCCCGCAGCAGCAGGCGCGCCACCTGCGGCAGGCAGGGGTGGGGTGCCAGTCGGGGCAGAGTGAGCGTGCTGCCTTGATCCTGATGGCGTGGCGTCTGCGCCGCCGTGCTTGCCTTGTCTGGGGTGAACAGATCGCTGCCCAAGGCGCTGTTGACTGCCAGGCACAGCTCCGGCTTGCTGGCATTCTCCTGGGCATACCCAGGCGTGTCTGCGGCACAGTGGCGGTGGCGACGGAGTGAGGGAAGAGGGCTTGACAGAAAGGACACACAAGCAGCTACCACACCGTTGCCCGTTGCCAGTGGCAGGGCCATTCGGCGCCAACAAATGCCCTTGCCCCATCCCCGCGCTGCACCGGGCGCCCATGCGCCACCGCACCCTGCCCACCTACCCACCTGTGTCTGGCGGGTATGCCACGCTGACCTCCACCCCAGTGCCCTGCAGCTCATTGCGCAGGCAATCGGCCAGGCCCCGCAACGCCCACTTGGAGGCGGCATAGGAGCTGTAGCCTGCGGCGGGGGCCACGGCAGGGCGAGGGAAGGACGGGCAGGCAGGTTGGGCAAAGTTGCCGCAAAAGTGCCGGGCACCACAAGCCCTGCTGCAGCATGCCTACTCCGAGCCAGCTACGCCTGCTGCGCCAGCCATCAGGCACAGAGCAGGGACCAGGCCAAGTTGGTGCACCCCCAACTTCCTCTTCCTCGACGCCCTCCCACCAGCAAAGCCCAGGATGGCGAGCGAGGAGGTGACGAGCACGACGCGGCCTGCCCGCCGCTGCAGCATGCCCGGCAGCGCCGCCTTGACTGAGTGCACGTTGCCCAGGTAGTTGACCCGCATCTGCAGCTCAAACGCAGACACATCCTGCTCCACAAACAGCCCTGCGTGGCGCGACGGGGTGGCAGCCGGGGGTGGGCACTGGGATGGGGGAGCATGGGAGCCAACAGGGAATTTTGGGGATGGAACAGCCAGGGTGTGGGGGCGGCGGAGGAGCCAAGCTGCGTTTCTGGCATGCATGCTCGGTAAAGCAGCACGCGTTGCGGGCCGCGCGGCAGCCGCCCGCACCTGGCAGCGACAGGCCGGCGTTGCAGATCAGGACGTCGATGGGGCCCGCATTGCGCTCCGCCTCCTCAAACGCCTTGGTCACCTGCACGGGCGGTGCCACAGAGCACAGGCGCATCGGGCTCGCAGGCAGCGCGGCAATGCAGAAGGGCTGCGGTTGGCGGCGGTTGCGGGATGCAACGCAAGCTCGCATCTCGCCGTCACCGGCACCGTTGAGCATGGCAGCCCCGGGCAGCACAATGACAAGACCTGATGGCGGCCAACCCCGCGCACCGCACCTTGGTCATGTCTGTGGTGTCTGCTGAGAGTGCTTGCAGCTTGGCGGCTGGGGCTGCAGCCCCACCTGCCGCACGCAGCGTGGTCGCCGCCGCCACCGCCGTCTCCTGCAACTGCTGCAGTGCAGTAGCTAGGTCTGCCTTGTTGCGTGCTACGATTGTGACGCTGCAGCCGCGCTCCGCGCACTGCAGCGCCAGGGCCAGGCCCAGCCCCTTGCTGCCGCCGGTGACGAGAACGTGTGTGCCGGGCCGCAGGCGGGAGCCGCGCCGGGCCCACATCAGCGCCGCTGGAAGCGCCACGGCAAGCAGAGACAGCGCAGCAGTGAACCACCACTCTGCCACCACCGCGTGCAGCATACGAGGGCGGGGACGGTGAGGCAGACAGTGGGGCAGGCAAGCAAGCGGGGTGTGCAGGTGGCAGGGATTGTGCACGAGGCCCAGCACAATGATCCTTGATTGCCTACGGGCCGCATGGGGCGCAGATTGGCAGGCCGGCGAAAGATGAAGTACGTACTGCCCAGCCCTGTCTAACCAGCGTCTTGGCTCTCGTCCTCGTTTGCCCAACATTGTTGGGAAGCCAACAAGTCACAGCACCGCCATCCTCCTGCTTTTGAACGCCATTTGTCTTGCAGCCCCAGTGCTCTCTTTGGCCTGGCGCGCAGGCACCCATATCAGTCCACGATGTCGGCGGCAGACCCGGCGCCTCGACTGTGGTGGGTTTGGTTGTTGGGAGGTGGTTGGGTCGGCAACTCCAGCAGCGCTGCTCCACGGGCCCTGGTCCGAGCACCTGGACGCATCTCTAATCGGCTGGGCGTCGCTGCTGGGCTGCTGCCGCAGGCGGCGGCTGTCAGCATCGAACGCCCTGCCCAGCCATGGCCCGTGTGAGCCCAGCAAGCTTTCAGGTGGCTGATTCAAGCGTTTTCACCATCTGGGTTGCGGCGAGTGAAGCGAAAGGGAGCAGGGGGACACTGGCCCAGCTCCCGCCGCCACGCATGGCGCCCGCCTGATGGCGCCGCAGGTTGGTCATCACCTTCCTTCCTCTTACCGGCCGTGCAGGTGATGCTGCGCTGCTGCCACCGTCCAAACAGGTAGCTGACGTGCCGGCAGAGTCTGGAATCAAAGCATACAAGCCACCACCTCCGGCAGCAGCCGGCCCGCGTGTGGCACCCCACCGGCGGAGCTCATCAGCCTCCATCAACAGCCCTCGCTCCAGTGTGCTGCAGCAGCTGCAGCCACGGCGCCCGCCTCCACCACCACCAGCGCAGCAGCAGCAGCCCGGCCTGATCACGCTAGATGAGCCAACGGCAATGGCACCCGCCCCATTAGGCCCTCTGCAGCTGCCAGCATACCAGTACATTCGGCTTTCGTAGGAATAGGAATGCCTGCCACCTCCTGTCACGGCATTTTGAAGCAGCACTCACTACCTGAGGCCGGCAGGTTGCCTCCCCACACACGCATTAAAGTTTAGCACACGCATCAAGTTATAGCCCGTGTGATCAACTCCCGCTCTGTCCCCGATGCCCCCTGATCTCTCTCTATCACGTCTCTATCATGTCTGTGCTTCTGCAATGCAAATCAGTACAGTAAGTATAACATAAGACCATACACAAGTAAAATCGCAGCCAGTGGTGGCGATGACGATGCCAGTGGCTGTGGATGGAATGCAGATTTGTGGCGGAGGAAGGTCACAGCGGCGGCTCATCATAGTGCATGGGGCCCAGCAGCCCGCTGTAAAAAGTGTCTTCCTGGGTGGCAATCTTGACGGTGACCTCCTCCTTCAGCATGCGCATCACGGTGCCAAACTCGGGGTGCGTCGTCTCCCTGCCGCACATACCAGGCAGAGAGTGGGCCATGGAGTGGCAGGTCAGCAGCTGAGCGTGCAATTGGCTGACGGCCTCCCTTGCACCTACCTTCTCATGCTGGGCCTAAGGAGCTGCAGCTGATACCCCATGTTGTGCCATGCAGCTGTCCCTCGGCAGCCCGGCAGCGTGCTACCTGGCTGCCCGCCACTCACTGGAACTGCTGCGAGATGATGAAGTCTGTGGCAAACCACTCGTCCACCAGGCCCCACACGGTGTGGCTGGTGCCCCACTCCGGATGGTTGCCATAAGCAATGAAGAAGTCTTTGGTGTCGGGGATGAAGCACACGTGGCCCATCTTCACCTCGATGTTACCCTCACGCGGCGCCACCTGCACCCAAAGCGGAGCATGGTGGGATCAGCCAAATGCAAGCGAAACCAGAGAAGGGCGCTGCTCAAAAGTGAAGGAATGAAAGCAGCCAGCAGGCGCCTTGCCTGGGGCATGTCGAGCCGCCCCTGCAGCAGCGCATATGGCGGGCCATCGCCGCCGCGGGGCCGCGCCTCATTCCTGCACCCAGCACCACGGCCAGCCGCGGCCAGGACACGCGTCAGGCAGGGGCAAACATGCGGCGCCCGTGCCTCGCACGGCATCTGAAACATGCACAGAAGGTGCCCATGCGCTGCAACTAGGCCCGCCGCTGCCAGGCGACTCGGCCAGGCCCACCTGTAAAAGGCGCAGATGCGGCAGCCGCGCTTCTGAGCCAGCTCCCACACCAGTGCCGTCGTGCGTGGCGCCAGCTTCTCCAGTAGCTTCACTTTGATTGGCCCAAACTGCGTGTGCAGCAGCACAGTTCGGCCAACCTGCTCCGCCGCTGCAGCGAGGTCGGCAGCCACCGCCTCGTCGCCGCCCTGGGCCGCGGCTTGGTCGCTGCCCTGTCCTGCCGCTGCACCGCTGTCGGCTGCCTGGTCCGCTGCTGATCCGTCGGCAGCAGCAGCACCGCCATCGCCTGCATTGTCCGTCGCCTCGTGCAAGCTGCCATCGCCATCGCCGCCAGCCGCTGTGCCAAGGTCGCCTGCTGCGTCGCCGCCCTCGGTGGCGCCGACATCGCCGCCCGCGCCCTCCACCCCAGCCTCCTTGTACCCGACGAACACCCCCTCGCGGCTGTTCTCAGCGGCAGCTGCCAGCCCCAGCAGCGCCAGCAGCAGCCAGGCTCGTCGGGCAGCGCGCAGCGGCGTCATATCGATCTGTGCGGCCGCTGAGCAATACTGCCTTGCTCGCCTGAGATCACACAAACAGAGGGAGGAGTGCGCGGATCGCTGAGCTGTGCAGAGAGCGAATAGAAGCAGATGCGAGGGGGGCCTCCACAATTAGAAAAACGTCATGGCAAAGCTGGCGTGCCACCCTTCACCTGGCGAATCACGGTTCTTTGGGGGGAGCCACATCGTAGCGGCAGCCGGCGGGGCAGCAAGCAAGCAGGCATTAGGCCACCCAGCCCAGACGGCGGCGGCGGCTAATGTGGAGGGATGCAAGCCAGTGGTCGCCAGTGCATCCCTCCACATTCGCCGCCCCAGCAGGGCAGCAGGCAGCAGGCTGCTGCACGCAGGGCACCAGGGAGGCCGCCCCGCGCGCCGGCCACCTCGGCCATGCGCCAAAATGGCGGCGCGGCGGCGGCGGCAGGCGCCCCGCATGGGCCCTCCTCGCACGCCCCAATTGCGTGTCGAATCAACTGTTCCCTCCACCAGCAGCCGTTTCAGCGCGGCGGCGGGCCCGGCGGGGCGGCACGCGCGCCGCCCTACCTAAAAAGAAAACGTGACATGCCGAAACTGGCACCGCGCGCTGGGGCCCCGCCGGCCCTGCCCGCGCCCCCATATCAGCGGTTCCCTCCACCACGAGGACACAGGGCGGCGGGGGGCGCGGCGGGGCGGCACGGCCGTCGCCTGCCTAAAAAGAAATTGTGACAGGCGGAATCGCAAACTTATTGGGATTGCTCCGGGTTTTTCGCGTGGAGGGGAAGCGATCGCGCCGGGCGGCGGGGCCCAGAGCCGCCGCCCCACCTCGCGCAGTAATCAGGGGTGGAAAGAGCTGAGACCGTTCTCGGCTGGTGATTGCATTAGAGGCTGCGAAAGCCTTGCAAAAAGCTGCAGGTTTGCCCCCAATGGCAGGTGCCATGTCGCAGCTATGAGCTTGTGGGGTGGGGTGGGCTCGACAGTGCCCACCAGAGGTAAGCCTGGCAATGTGCAGGCGACCTGGGCTGGCGTGACTGCCCAGCCTCATGCTGCCACCCTGCCGATAACGCTGGCTGTGCAGCCTGCAAGCAGCTGCTCTCTACACGCCTCGAATTGGGCACGACAAGGGCTGCGCATACGCTACATGCAGGTGGTGACGCTGCCTCGCCTCCTAGCCTAAGCGGCGTGTGGCGCCGTGGCGGCGGGAACGGCAGCAGCGGCACCAGTGCAGCACAGCTGCCGCTGGCAGCCAGGCAGCGACGGCCACAAGGCGTGAGCGGCGGGGGCGGGGAAGGCAGCAGCCCTGCAGCAACATCGGCGCCATCAGCCGCTGCGCAGTATGGGCGTGCCGACGGCCACCGCCACGCCTCCTCTAGCGGGAGCAGACGAGCCTCCACTGGCGGCAGCTCGACGCACGGCTGGCCCAGCAGCGGCAGCAGGCGTGGGACTCAGGTGCATGCAGCCAGCGGCAGCACTGACCGGGTGCAGCCTGGCAGCAGCCGCAGGCCACCGGCCCAGCACGAGCAGAAGCGGCAGCTGGAACGCCAGGCCATCCCGCCGCCACCCACGCCGCCCGCCATGCCTGCACGCCCACAGCTCGCAGGCGCTGGCGGAGGCGGTACCAGAAGCAGCAGCAGCAGCCCAGGTCCTGGCAGCAGGCGTGCGATGCCGACTCTGGTGCAGCGGCCCGTGCGCAGCGATGCCGCCGCCGCCGCTGCCTCCGGGCCCAAGCCCCCCTCTCCCTTGCAGAGGCCTACGCCGCCGGCACCGCCGCCCACCAACGGCAGCACCAGCAGTAGCAGCGGCGGCGTCAGCGGCGTGGTTGGCACCGCCCCTCAGCAGCGGCAGAGCCCCCGGCAGTCGCCATCGCTGCGCATGCTGCTCAGCCAGCAGCGCAAGCAGCTGCCGCAGCAGCCCGCCTGGCCGCAGCAAGGGCAGCAGGGGCAACAGGCGCAGCAGCTGGCGCCGCGCCGGGGGCAGCCCGCTTTCCTGTCTTACAGCCAGCAGCGGCAGCAGCACGAGCAGGGCCAGATTCTGCAGCAGCAGTACTTCCGCCAGCAGCACCTGCGCGTGCCTTACTGGGTGCGCGCGGTGGCAGAGGAGATGCTGCAGGCGGTGGCGGCGGTGGATGCAGCGGGCGGCGCCGGCGCCGGCGCCAGCGGCATTGCGGGGCTTGGCATCTACGACCCACCTCAGGCGCTAATGGATCAGCTCCACCCCCTGCTGCCGCCTTTTGTTGACTCCACGGCACAGCAGCAGCCGCTGCCGCCCCCGCAGCAGGCTGCGGAGCAGCAGGCAGATGAGGATGAACCGGGAGAATCGCTGGCGGCAGAGCAGCAGCAGCAGCAGCAGCAGCAGGAGGAGCTGGCTGAGGAGCAGCAAGAGGAGGAGGAGCTGGAGGAGGAGGAGGAGCAGGAGCAGGAGCCCCTGCCACAAGAGGCGGCGGCTGAAGCGGGCGACATCTTTGCTGCCGAGCTGGCCAGGATTCTGAGCCACTATGAGCAAAGCTCTTCAGAGGCAGCAGCAGCAGCAGCAGCAGAGGAGGAGGAGAGTGTAGACGGAGCAGTGCCCGTTGGAACTAGCGCAGAGGGGACGAGCGTCGGCAGCGAAGCCAGCAGCGGCACCACCAGCGTGGCGGAGCCTGCCGAGGCGGCGGCCTCTGGTGCCGCCTCCGACGCCGCGCGGTCCCAGCCCAGGCAGCGCCGTGTGGACGACGGCGGCTTCCTGCTGCTGCTGCGAGCCGTGGCGCTCATGGCAAGCCGCCGCCGCTGCCGCTGCCACTGCTGCTGCTGCTGCCGCCATACTATGCTTCTGGTCAGAGGAACTCAGAGCGACGGCCAACACAGGCGCTGGGCCTCCTGCCTGATGTAGAGCCCTGCCCCCCCGCGCATGTTTGCAGGGAGACGGGATGCGGGGGGCGATAGCGCTGCTGCTGGCTGCCGACGCGGGCGGCGGCGGCTACCCCACGCGCTCCAACGACATCATGGCAGCCATGCTGAAGCTGGCCAACAGCCTGCTGGAGGTGGGGAGGAGGGTGGGCGGCTGGCTGTTGCGGGGCTGGGAGCGGCTGGAAGGCCTGGCAACGCCCCTGTGGCTCATAGTTGTTGACGCTCCTCCCACGGCCCCTCTGCTGCGCCGCAGGACGAGGCGGCGGTGGTGCTGGTGCATCTGGCGAAGCAGTGGGGTGTGGAGCTGGACAGGGGCATGTGGCAACAGTGAGCGGGGGGGCAGCACGCACACAAGCTTGGCATGCCAGTCTCGGCGGCTGCCAGGCGGTGGATGCATGACCTTCTTCCCTAGTGGGCTGCGCCCACAATCCCGTCGCCGCGGCAGATGCATCGGACATCCGCTGCCGCCCCGCGCCGCGCTTTCCTTTCCTGCAGCGTGCTGGATGTGTGCGCCAAGGCGGGCAAGGCTGAGGTGGTGCTGGCGATGATGCAGGTGGGCGGGGGTGCAGCAGCAGCATGGGGGCCGGGTGCAAGTACAGGTGCAGGTCCAGGGCATGGGTTCCTCCTTCCTGCTGTCCCCGCCCGCGCCTGGATCCTCCCCCGCCCGCCGCGTGTGCCCTGCCCCCTCGCCCATGCCCAGCCGAGCGGCCCCCTGCCTGCGTGCAGGAGATGGAGGCGCGCGGCCTGCCCCCCGACAGCGTGGCGCACACCATCCTGGTGATGGCGCACGAGAAGGCGGGGGCGTGGCGCGAGGCGCTGGCCGCCTACCGACACATGCGCGACCGCGGCCTGGAGCGCAACAGCTTCACCTACAGGCGCGCCCTGGCCGGCAGCGGGCCGGGCCCTGCATTTCTGTGGGCCGGGGGCGGCGCCGCCGCGGGTGGAAGTGCCGGCAGGAATCCCCAGTCGGGCTGCCAGGCCAGCCCCGTGTCGCCTCGCCTCGCCTCGCCTGCCCACGCCGCCTGCCTGTGCGTGCCCCGCCCGCCTCCTGCCCGCCCGTGCGCCCTTCCCCCGCAGGGCGCTGGTGTCTGCCCTGGTGGGCGCCGACCGGCTGGGCGACGCGTGCGAGGTGCTGGACTGGATGGCAGATGACGGCGTGGCGGGGAACGCGGTGGTGTACCAGACCCTCATCAACGCCTTTTTGGAGCGGGACCGCCAGGACAAGGTGCGGCGCAGGCTGGCCTGCCGGCTGGGTGGAGGGATGGGCGGGCAATGGGAGGGTGGGTGGATGGTGGCGGGCCGGGCGGCAGAGCTTGAGCTGGTGCACATACGCATGCCCTGCGCTCCGGCGCGTGTGCGGGGCGCTGCTGCTGCCTTCAGCCGGCTGTGAGCGCATGGGGGACACACACATCCACACACATCCGCACCCACATGCCCCGGCCCGCAGGTGGACTGGCTGCTGGAGCGCATGCGGCGCGACGGCGTGCGCTTCAGCCACCAGGCC